TTCCAAAAATCATGCTTCCCAGCCCCAAAACTAAGAACACCTGGGGGGCAATAGGAACAGCACAACTACAGAAAGTGAATAATGGATGAAAAACAGAATGTAAGCCAAAAAACCCCCAAAACACATTTATTTCCGTCTCTTCTTTTGTCGTGCCTTGACTAAAGATTAGCCATTTTGCCTTCAAATCAAATTTTTTTGACGCAGTGAGCAGGATTCTGTTTTTTTTTTACTGTTTCCTAGGACACCGAGAGTGTCACTGACATAGCGATTTGATTTGTTCAATTAGACATTTGACAGCAGCGATGGACAGGTCTCGTCTGTGAAACTGCTGACGGCTGCTTACAGCTATAAAAGGCTGTTGTACTACAGTAAGACACACACTTTAATTATTTTACTGCACTTAAACCGAACATGTGACAAAAGCTGAAAAGGTCCAAAACAAAAATACGAAATTTCTACATCGTCAGTCCAGTAAGGTGTCTGTCAGTGGGAGAGGACCTTTAGCTCAGCGTCACATCCCAAGTGTCTAGTTAAAGAATAACTAAGGGTTACATCTAGTGTGGCCTGCACTTGTTTATGAACTTGTGAATGAGAATTGGTCTGATAAAAAAACGTTGACCAGGTCAACTTACGTGTAGGGGGAGAGGGGTCCAAGCAAAACCTTCGACACGTCCTGCTGGCCAAGGGTCATCAACAACAGTGCAAGGCTCTGATTGGCCGAATCGACGCACCCGCCCTACAACAGAGGGAATAAGTTGGGGGGGGGGCATTTAACTAAGAGAAACAACACTGTTGTAACATCATGGGGGCGAAGGGGGGAGCGGGAAGAGTAGGAGGAGACGTTTAGAAAAAACTCAACCACCCCTGAGGGTGGAGGGGGGGAGGAGGAGGGTGACACAGTCAAAAACACTGGACAAATATAGTAGAACACAAAAACAACAAACTTTACTGTGAAAATACATGAAAGACTGTTGGACATACAAGAAATGTCAGAATTGTTACTTTAAACTAAACTAAACTAAACATTAGGCTACTCTTTAGCTATTTCTGGCATGTTTTTTCAAGATTGAATGTAAAATTTTGACTTCAAACTAGAAGTTCAAACTATAAGACAACATTTAGATAGATTGTCACGTCACCCACATGTGAAATCACACTGGATTTAAGTGGGAAACAGTTTGAAAAATAAGCTAAATAAAACTGTAGATTTATGCTAGATGAGCCAATAAAGCTACCGTTTAGCTATAGCTAGCTTATATAACCAAAGGAAAATCCTCGTAAAATTTCTTAATTTTTTTGGAAAGGTAAAAAATCTCAGAAAGCACTTTACATGAGCAAAATTAGCTCAACTCACTCAACATAGAAACCCAGTGTCCTCAGAGTGTCCCATGGGCCAAAGGTTTGGACTTTTATAGCAGAGCATGTCCTTTTAGTTAAATTCTGTTATTTCCTTCTATAGCCAGTGCCTGTAGAGAACAGAGGCCGTACTCTCTGCACCCCAGTGATCACGTCGTCACCATTACTCAACCGTAACAAGCTCTTCCCTCAGCAGACAGTTATGAAGACACTGGACACACCCAGGAGTGTTTTATTAACTGGTGGTTTGAGTCAGACTTTTGACTTTTCTCCATTCTTGCTGCTGCAAAACCAGTCTCAATCCTCTTAAAGATGCGATTGTAAAACATATCAAAAATTTCTTTTTTAAAATAAATTATAGCAATTTCTGACCAGAATCTGTTCAAAAAATGAATAAATAAAAATTAACCAGAAATAGTAATAAAAAAACTAAGTCACCAGACCATAATTCTGACATTTCACCTCAATGGTAAAACTATGAAAACATTTAAACACGTACAAAATCTCATCATATTTAAACTCTTGACAAAGCACACAAACAAGGAGACAAAGTTAACATTAGCCCCACTTTTTTTAACCAAACATTTCCTAAAATAGAAAGTTAAACATGAGGGTGGCCAATGACGGTGGCCAAGCCCAAGCATCTCACCTGACTTCCAGACCTGGACCAGAAGAAGAACTCAGAACCATGACTAGCTTTTCTGAAATGGTCTGAGCATTTAACCAAATATAAAAAAACAACAACAACAGTTTCTAACAGGTAGTGTTCTGGCACCGCCTTCCAGAGGAAACGTCACAGTTGACATGTCCCCAGGGACGAGCAGCCAACCAGACATGTGGCCACAAGAAAAAGTCCCTTGAATCCCTCGAGCAAAGGGAACCAGAATTCAGACCAAAAATCTGTTTTGCACTGCATTTAAAGAAAAGAGACACTTTACAATATACAATATTTAAAACTCTTAACAAGACATTAAACAATGTCAGATGTCAAGGTCAAAAGGCCTAAGTTGACAAGATTTTAAAACCACAGACCTTTGGAAACAGATCATTTCAAATATATCAGTAAATAAAAAAGTCATAATCAAGACTGGATTACTACCATTAACATTTTAAGTCTGTTCATCAACATTGACAAATATTGAAAAAATAAGACACAAAAGTAAGCAGTAGGTATTCTGTAAAGTTTACCTTTAAATTTCCAAACCAAACGTTAAAAATGTCACCACTTTCATCAGCTCTCGTCCACTGTTGTCGTCTCCCCCAAATACAAAATGTCCATAATGGGGCTTCGGTTTACTACAAGTGGACTGTACTGATTAACCATTAGACAAACAGACGTACGGACAAACACAGGGTAGCCGTACACTTCAAAATGTCAACGCGGCCAATATCTTTCCTTTTTCAGTTTTTTCTTCCCCTTAAAAAAAACAACTAACATTCCAGACAGAGGGGTCAGAGCTGTCCTCTGTCTTTACTCCAGTCATTTTCTCTTTTTTCCTGGTCAGAGTTGCAGGAATCACTGCATCCTTACTGTACTGATCTTAAAAAAACAGATGCAGTTATTCTAAAATTTAGTGATTATGGTAAAAAGCTAAAGAACCAACCAGATATTCCTCTGTCGTCCACAGAACACGACGAAGCACGGGAACATCCCCAGCTCTTTGGGCCAGGAATTAAGAGGAAGCGTCCAACAATATTGCCCTTTCACAGCTAATCAGCACTGCCCCGACCAGCTAACTAGACTCACATGGCTCCTATAAACCAGGACTGAAAGGGCAGAGACACGTGGGGGCAACGTGAAGCCTGCAGTCACTGGGTCTGATTGTGTGTGTATATATACATATATTCATGTTCAGGCACTTTGTGACTAAATGTGAATAAAGATCTCTTACCACGGTACCAATCTAACAGATACTGTAGAACTGACTTGTGACTCCATATCATGTATAGCAGACGTTTCAAACTCAGTCACACAACAGGATGAAAATTAAACACACACATTGTTGGGGGCCAAACAGGATCAACAGTTATTCAGCTCTAATGCTGATGATGCTCTTATCAGAAAAAGAACGCAACAACTTTTTCCTCAACAAAACAAATAAAAATTTCCCACGCATTTATTATATAAATGCAGAATTTACCAACTGCATTAAACCAATCCAGTAGCCATTAGCAGCTGGTGGGCTCCTTAATATGTGGACTGGATTTGGCCCGCGGGCCTTGAGTTTGAAATACAGTGGAACATCGGTTGTCGAACCCCTTTCTTTTTGAACAATTCAACGAACAACATTTTAACTAAAAATTGCCCTGATTGTCTTACCATAACTTGGTTGCCAAACAAGCCAACACTATCAGGTGGCCAGCAAGTGACCACTGAGTGTGTAGTGTCAGTCTTGTCTCAGCCCTCGCTCCTGATGTACACACTAAGTGTTGTCTGATTTTGATGGTATTTCTTGAGCTGTGATATTTCTTCTATTATTTTATTCCATAAATCACCAAGGGACATAAAAAAGCTAGTGAAAGTGGAATGGTGAAAGTAAAATAGTGAGAACGGGAATAGAAGTGAAGAAGGATTATACAAAAGCATGAGAGTTCATGTTCCAGATCTGTCTTTACAGTATGGCTTAGCAAAGTTGTTAATTTGTACCATCATTATCAGCAAGAAAAAGATCTCAGACATTAGAAGAAGTGGAAAAGTTGATATTGATTTGGATCAATGAGAAAGCGAAGCGAACATTGCTCAGTCAGGACTCCTCAGCTCCAGTAAGGATGATTGAAATCGCCTTTCGTATTTATAGCTTTATTCTTTATCCAAATCTATGGAAGTGATACTGATGCTGATTGAAATCGCCTTTCGTATTTATAGCTTTATTCTTTATCCAAATCTATGGAAGTGATACTGATGCTGAGTGTGAGGACGGTCCAGCAGAGGACAAGACACAGCACTGTCCTCCTCTGATGTTGACAGACTGTTTAAGAAATGACGAGTATGAATGGATTCAGTGACGAGGAAAGAGATCAGGAAAATGTTGACTGTTATCTTGATTTATTAAACCTATGATCTTAAGGTTATGGTGTGAATGCGATGCATCAGGAAACAGTAATTATCCTCTTGAAGACAGACGTGTATTTTATGACGAGCATACGTATAATAAGCTGTGGTGGGCCACATAAATGATGTTGTGGGCCACAAGCACAAAAACAAACATCATGACATGCCAGAAACAGCTTAAAGGAATGCATAAAGGAATTATATTCCTCATCTTTCACGTTTATAGGACTATCAAAAACTTTAGAATTAGCCATGTAAATGTAAATTTAGAACATCCCTGTTAATAAACAATCTTGTTAACTATTGACAATAGTGAGTTACTAGTGCTGAATAAAACTGTCAGAAAACAAAGAAACAGGAATAAATAAGTAAAAGAGATTCATCTCCAAATCTGAACTAAACAGTAAATTCAAAGTTCCCTTCAGCCGCTGATACACTCTGTCCACAGACAGTCTGTCAGTAAAATTCCAGACTGTGGTTGACGGTCATTACCAGACAACACTGGTAAACAACAGTAGTGAAAGTCATCGTTAGACAGTGGCTTTACTATTGTGTGTCCCGTCTGTGTATGCCAGGTATTCCCCAAGAATCCTGGGATTGTGCAGAGGCAGGACAACTGAATCTTCAGCTGCCCACACTAGAATCTCTCAGAAAAGAGATACCTTTTAAACAAGGTTCAAGGTTTAAGCCTGTGCCAGCTGCTATGGCTGCGGCTTCATATTCACACAGTACGGATTCTTTGTGATGACAAACTTTAAAATAATTCACACGAATTCTTTGTGATGACAAACTTTAAAATAAACAACTAAATTTGTTGAGTTGAAACTAATATTTCCTACACTTACAAATGTTGTCACCAGTCTTGCAACCTATCCATCCAGATCAGTGACGACATTGTATGTTGCGTTAACTCGGGTTACCGGTTTTTAGCGCATATGCTAATGGATCTGCTAAGCCTTATTGCTACATTTATGGCTCAATGTACTGTATTAACTTGGATTATATCGTCATAGCAGTTATTATTATTATTTGTCATAAATTAAACATCACACAAGTGTGTGAATGTGTGCTGAAACCCCTCCTCCCTTCCAATGGTTGTTTAGCCGTTTCTGGCTCATATGCTAATGCCTGTGCTAAGTATGACATGAGAAGACAGGGTGCGTTGTCCTCCTGCATATAATTGTCAACGTAAAAAATTAACAACTTATTTCCTGAAAGTATATCTTCAACCAACAATGTAGGGCTTTTGCTTCACTATTTTTCTGTTTTTGTCATGTTGATTATTCTAGCACCCAATTTGTCATAAATTATACCAGACTTGAATTAGACACTAAGTCTAAACCCACGCACAGATGTGTGTGTGTGTGTGTGTCAGACGTGTGTGTCACTCTTACCCGATGCACCTCCTCCAACAGCATTTTAGCACAGTTTCTACCTAGCTCCTCTGGTAACATGGGGTCTCCCTGGCCCTGCGGTGTGGACGACATCTCAGCACTGAGGAAGAAGCCGTCCAATGTCTCTGCGACTAACGTCAGGCCAAAACCCGGAGACCTGAAAGCAGATCACGTGACACTGAGTGTCTGTTTGTATAATTGTGAGCACAAGCAGCAAAAGTGATTGTTAAATGGTCTGACACTCACTTGCCAGAGTTGGCTCCCTTCATGTGATCTGTGTAGATGTAAATATCTGGAATGAACTGGTTGAGGACAGCTCTGGTGGAATCGACGATCCGGTTGGCCATCTGAGGAGAAACTCGCACCGAATATCTGAGTTCGCCGAGTCAAGGTCCTGGGATGGTGGGAAACCTTTTGAGCCAGGCATCCTCTCTCAGTGGTATAAAAGGCATAGACAAGGCTCAAAAAGTTCTAAGACAGTTGTTATATTTTAAACAGCAATTATGTGATCAAAGAATTGCTGCTCTGTGGAATTCTGGGGAATTACTTTATCCCTAAGCCACAACCAGTTTCTTCATCTCCTCTTAAGGACTGAACTGAGTTCTTTCAGTTTTGGGAAGAGGAAAAAGCTCTAAACTAAATCAACAATAGCTGCACAGCATCAATCATTTTGACAGGTTTCTAAATTTGACAGAAAACTTTATATTTGCTCTGATTTCACAATATTTATTATATATTAACTAAGGGTTAAAAGGGGAAAAAAGTAAAAAACATGAGCAAACCTGTAATAGGTCAACATGACAAAAAATGAACTTTGTCAAAGCAGTTTGAGACACCTGAGAGGCCTGTCTGAACAGGTTTTAGCAGCCAAAATCTGATACACTTAACAAAAAATTGTAAGATACCTATAATTTTTAGTTAGTGTTTTTAACTGTTCTAATGACGCTAACAGCAAGTCAACTAAAAACCACAAATTAAGCACATTAAAAAGTGAAATTCTGGATACGCCATTCCTCTGATCCTCTTGATTTTCCCAGTTTCAGTCAGCTGCACTGGTTTGAGGGTTCTTTTGACAGGACATGTGAAAACTACCTCACCTCCTCCACCAGGAGCCATTCCTCTCTTAACAACCTGAAAAGGCAAAACAGCATTGTGGTTTTGTCATGGATCAGCAATAGTTTCAAAAAATAAATAAAAAAATAAACTCGTACTGTATGGGGCTCGATGTGGTCCTTACCTTGATTTCAAAACCCTCTCCGTCGATGCCAAATTTCTTCATCAGCGGCAGAGCTGTGAGCTTCAGCAGATCCACCTGAAATGGGAATAAATTTACAGACTTAACTACACGTGACTGACTGGCCAGCCTGCAGTTCTGATCATTTTGAAACATAACTGGAAAAAGCCACACCGCACAATGAAGAGCAATCAAGTTTTTGCAAATTGAGCAATGACACCTTTTTTTCCCCTAGTACTAGTAGTTCACGAACACATGTTTAACCAAAAATTGCACCGGTTGCAGTTAATGTCAAGGGCCCCATTTAGTACTAGCAGTTAAAAATTCGGTTCACGAACACATTTTTAACCAAAAATTGTCCCGGTTGCAGTTAATGTCAAGGGCCCCAGTTGCTTCTTTTTTGTGTTTTTTAAGATTCTTCAAGAGAACAAACTCCTGATAAAACTGCTGCAGTTTTTCAGTGTTGGGATATTCAGTTGTCTACAGTTGACTGTTCTACATTTTTGTGTCTACATTTTTGGCACCGTTCTCTCTGAAACAATGCTGATGATATTCATCTTCCAGCTGAGTTCTGCTGCTACAAAACCTGGCTTCTGCTCCTCGCCCATAACTCCATAACTCAAGACCATAAACTCAGCTCCTCTGCACTGTTGATTTAAACTGGCATATAATTGCACTTAATAGTGTGTGCACAAGAGGGCAGCGTCTCTTCCGAATGTGATTGATGTTCCCTTCAACCGCAGCATAGTTTACATATTCTCGGCACAAGTATGCATCGGCTCCACCCTGTGTGATCAGAAGTCGGTGAAAACAAACTGGCAACTTAACACAGGCTTTGCACACCTTGGACTATCTTAAATTTAAGCTCCTTTTAGGCATTGTGAAAACCCCTTTTTTATATACTTGAGGGCACAGTTTCAGCCATTTTAGGACCCTGTTTCAAATGAAATATTGCTAATATTTTTTTTTTGGCTGATGTTTGCTATTTTGATGATTTGTATATTTTCGGAATTTTCTTTTGTCTTTTCTACATACTGTACGCTGTAGAGACTCTAAACTTCAAATCCTTTAGAGCAGGGTCTTCAAACCCCTGGTTCACGAGGAGAATCATATCCATTTATTTTCTTTATTTAAAGATAATAATGATATTACCTTTTAGACTTCAGATATTAATGAAGTCTAAAAGATGTTTTTTTTTTTTTAATTTACTGATTCATAGCGATACTCAATCTCACAATGGTCAGCAAATTTTCAGGTTTGCCAGGTTTGCTAGTCTTCCTGGCTGACCTTTAGTTACTTTGTTACTAGTTTTTTGTAAGAGCTAGTACTCAATTTTTAGTTTAAGCTAACAGAGTGTGAAGTTATTTGACACATTTTAACCTTACTCTGCTATATTTTACTATATACACGAGGATAATGTCTTTGCTTACTTTTTACAATCTATTCAATGATTCAGGCTTTAAACGTCAATATTTAGCCAAACCACCTGTTGTGCTAATTAGTTAAAAAAAAAAAAACATTTGATTCTCATAACAAAAATCTTAGTACTAGCCTTATTACATCTGACCCTCTATGTCAGTGTTTCCCAAACTTTTTATCTGGGTATCCATATTTTAAAAGTCACAAACCTTTGCGACCCAAGTCAATAGACATTATTCACAAACTCCTGGGAATGCTCTATGTGGCCCAGCAAGTCTATGATACCTCGAGTTAGATAATGATCAGACAGAATCATGTTTGTGCTCACAGTTGGGTCAGTTGGGTCATTGGTGACTCCCCTCAGGGTCGCCTTGAGAGGGTTCTTCATAAACGGAGCCAACATGAGCAAAGCTTCCAGGTAGTACCCGATGGATCTCTGTGGGCTACAGTCATGTTCCACTGAACCTCCGTACAACAAGCCAGGCTGGTAGAACAACACGGTTCCTTTAAAATTGGGCAGAAGCACAATAAAATTGTAACACAATAAAACAATTAAAATTGCATTTTTTTTAAATTTTAGAAATGAAATACTATGCATCAAAAAATAACAGGATAATCTATATAAATATACATATATATATTGTGCATGTTCATGCCAAATTAAGGTAAGTAGTAATAACAAACCTCTAAGACAAGATCAGATGACAAGAAAGAAAGCTTAAAAAAATGTTGCAGTACAAATGCAGCTGGAATGTTTTAATGCTTCAGTGTGAACAAGTGACGCATCTGAAACACTGCTGAGATGCTGTCGCGCTGCTGAGAAAATGCAGTGTGGTGGTGACAACATTTACCTGTTTGGTTTATCTCTATTTTGGTGCCATTGGTCACTTTGTCCAACAACCTGACGAAACTAGCCTCGAAATCTGGAAGTAGAAAAGACAGCCATAAAAAACCCCCCAAAAAAACAAACATCACAATACGTAACTGAACGTTTCTCTAATGATATTAACAATCCCCTTTTATGAAGTGCAATAGAATTTGTAGCGTTTATATTTGTTTATTTTTAATATATGTTTAACAAAGATGTTTTTTTTTACTTTTCACATATTAAGAATAAAGAAGCTAAACTCTAGACAATTTTCAATAAAGCTACAATCACAACTAAGGACACAAATCAAATGTGTTTATTCATTCCTTCTTACCGTCTCAAAACAAATTGAGTCAAGAAAGGAGAGTCCACGGCTGTAGTGTTTACAATGTTGAAAACTTGTGATAAAAATTTAAAACAAACAACCTATTCGTAATAAAACAAACGTGTTTTATAGTAAAGCACCACGCAGCTCTAAAACAGCGCAGATAAGGTGTATTAATCTCATATTTACAACTCCTGACCCTATCGCTTCCTTCCACACCCAGTGATGAAGCCACACTCCCAACTGCGCAGCAGCTAGCCGTTAGCTCTAAGCCCCTTGCTAACGGCTAAGTACCAACAGCGACGCCACAAAACTTACCCCGCAGTCCAGGTTCGTCCTCTTTAGAACGAATGCTCCTGATTTTGACCCGCTTCCCACTGAGGGTGGACAGAACCAGTCGCTGTCTGAAGAAATTACAGCCTTCGTAGGTGAGTCCATGACTGGCCATGTTGTTGTTGTTGGTGCCTGGCGTCAGTGGGAATCCACGTGTGTTTGTCCAAGAAGACGTTAGAGGAGGAGAGGCAGGTACCGTAGCCCAAGACGGACAAAAATGACAGTTTGCAATTGTTGTTTTACTCAAGCCGGCCACTGGGTGGCAGTTACGATGCATACTAGACCACGAAATAGGTGTTGGTTTATCTTAAAGGCACATAGACGTACATAATATGTAAACAACATAGAAAATTAAATAAATTTCACTGCGCATTGTACTGTGTGTGACGAATAAAACTCCTGAATCTTGAATTATTGAACTCATGTTCATACAGTGTTATATCGAAACAATATTGTTATATATAATATATCATTATTCACTTTTTTTAAAAAATTGAAAACTTTTTTTACCCTTGAAACAACACAACTAATCGTGTTAATAATAGTATAAATCATCAACATACCATATAATTACAATAATAATTATTATTGTTATTATAATTATAATAATAATACATTTATAATTAGAAGTAATAGTGGTTGTGGTGATCATTTTGTTGTTTATTTTATTTTTGTAGTAAAAGAAAATTTTAACAAGCCCTTATTATTATTGTTAACGCTGATCATGAGAGAAATTAATCTGTTCTGTTCTGCAGTTTTCTAAAAGGTCCATTTTTAATCTACTTTTATTTATTTTTCAATATGTCTCCACTTTTCCCACAAATTGAGACGTCTTTAATACACATCAATATGATTCAGACATACTGTAAAACAATCTGTCTTTCTTTTTACTATGATGAAAAGCATGGTTATTGGTTATGCATGACAGTGACACTAATACGCTCGCGCCTGCCCCAGCGCGCGCACGCACACACACACTTACTGCAGCTTGATGTTTTAAATGAAAACAGTAATGTACATATATGAACTATTGTTTTATTTAAATAGATTATTATAAAATGCAAAATAAGAAGGTATATTGTAAGTCGATTTGGATAAAAGTATCTGTGAAATTAAATGTATACTGTAGTGGACATGACACTGGGCCTAATTTCATATAAAACTCAATTTTATATGATATACAGTACTGTATATAGTGGTGGTCTGCAGCTAGTGGTAGGATTCCATTCTGTCACGCAGAAGGTTCAGGGTTTGCTTCCCCCTAGCGCCTGGCTGCGGGAACCTCTAATGAACGGACAAACCAAAAATGATGCCTACTCTTCATATAGTCGGGTGTCACTGCCCCACTATTTTGGGGGTCCTTCTCGGTCCTTCACAGTGTCCAGATCTACGTCGTCCGTATCTACAGGTTGGTGCAGATCTCTGTGTACCTGTAAGGCACCTGTTGTCCACCCCTGCAGCCCTGATGGAAGCTGGCACTGAAAAGATTAGTCATACACAGCTCTACCTACTAACAGGCGCCCCCTGCCTGCAGAACAACACAACTGCATAATAAACAATGCACATTTCTCCGCCATCGACAGAGAGACGCGGACACTTGTCGGTGTACTGCAGAGGGAGAAGAAAGAAAGAGGGTGGGGGTCAGTTGACCTGCATCCTCTAATGGCATTCTTCAGCTGCTCGGCTCTCCTCCTCCTCCATTTCCTCCCCCTTTTTACCAACACCTCTTCCTCTTCTTCCTCCTCCTCCCCGTCCTCTTTCTCCTCCTCCTCTCTCTGCTTTCTCAAAGGCTCCGAAGCAGAAGAAAACAAGTCAAGGTCCACTGGAAGTTAAGACGTGCAGGAGCAGACGCGCCTTCTCTCTCCCCACGTTGCAGATTTTTTAAAAGGAGAAAAAAAAGAAAGTTGAAAACCTGCTCCGATCCAGTTTTGGCTGCGAACTGCTGGGTGTTTTTTATGAACAGAGCGCGGCACCGAGAGTAGATTCTTATTTATTTAATTATTCATTTAAAAGCATGGTCCTACAGAGGGTTTTTCGGGCTGTCATCCTGGGACCACCGGGCTCTGGGAAAGGAACAGTGTCGGGGCGCATAAGTAAAACTTTTGGACTCAAACACATCTCCAGCGGAGACCTTCTGAGAAGACACATTGAGGCTAAGACTGGTGAGATAAATGTGTCTTATTCAATACTCAACCACACATGCATCACATTTACATTCTTGAAGCGGAGCTGCATGTTAGGGTCAATATCTTCTGCATGTGTTGCCGAAAAGAACGTTCTCTTTCTCTGGTTCCAGTATGCACCACTGTAACAGGCTTTATTGTAACCAAAACCGAAGGAATTGTTGCCACTGAGTTAGTTTCCTGGACTTCAGTGATAAGAGAGCCACTCCTGTACTTTTATTACTTATCTCTATCACAGGGACATCAGGCAGAGCAGAGGAGAAGAGTTTCTGTGCGTCTTGCATGTCTTTAATTCAAGGTCAAAGGTGACACGGGGTGGCACTGGCTTTGTTTGTTGTTTGTTCATACAGGGAACTGTTGACCCCTGGTGTTACAAGGTGTGTGAAATAAGACATGTGGTGTAAACAATACCAAAAAAAAAAGGATGAATGGAGTTGTGAAAACAAACCGGAGCCTTTGTTCCATATAAGGTCAGCGTTCATTTAAGGACTCTGGTTTTTACGGCCACAACCAAATGTGACCTCTGCTTTTAACCCATCACCAAAGTGAACAGTGGGCAGCTTTAGGGGTAGCAGTGTGTGGGGACAGTGCCATGATCAGAGCACCTCAGTGGTAACTGGGCAGCTGATGAACACTGAAGCCTTCTGGATGATGTCTGCTTCCTCAACCACCAAGCGACCACTGCCCCAAAATAATGTGTCAGAAGTGGGATTCGAACCCACGCCTCCTTTCAGAGACCAGAATACCCATTTTAGTGGAAGGAGCCTATCCTTGAGTGTGGCGCCTTAGACCACTCGGCCATCCTGACACACAGATCAGCAGAAAAACTAAATTATATCAACTGCTTTACAGTTGATCTTAAAGTGTGTACAGTAGTATAGTAGTATATACTGCTCAATTTCTTAGCCCAGTGGTTTCCAAAGTAAGGGGCCTGGGGGATGCGCAGGGGGTTACAAGTCAAATAAATTCCAATTTGAATATTTTTTTTTATTGTATTCAAAATCAAGCTTGGATGGATAGCATGTAGCTATGTTTTAACTATTTAATTACTATTAGCATTTTAGAGCTATTTTTTGCTAAAGTTTGGCTATTACAGGGTATTTTCTGCTAACCTTTTGAGTTAGGAACTCATTACAGTATGGTTACTACGTCTACACCTTTTGGCCAGCTTCCATTGCTTTTGTGGCTTATAGACAGCAAGTATTACATATTCACATTTATATGGTTTTTTTTATTATTATTTTACAGTTAGTTTTAGTCGTTAGCCATTTGATGTCAGCAACACTTTATCCTGAGTATGGGCTTATTTGTGACCTTTGTATGTTAAAGTTGTTCAGTAAAGACTAGTGTTGTCTCATCTGAGCAGCATCAGGAGCCTGTGGCAGTAAAAGTGGTTGGTCTTGTTTACATTGCCTTGCTCAAGTATTTGCCCCGCAACAGTTTTTTTCAGTCTAATCCTGTGACCTTGCTCTTTTCCTGTGATTGCGTCATTTCACTTTATCTCTGTCTAAGCTGTTTTCGGGTGTGTGTGCTGCATGTACCAGACTTTTGTACACCTTGTATGTGTGTATACTTGCTTTTTCAAAAACCTTCAAGATCCAGTCTGTGCAGTCACCACGTCTTATACTTGTGTTAAAAAAACCCCGTAACCTATCTGTGGGCAGGAGACTCTAAAGAGGGTGAATTTGTGGTTCTCCTTTGGTGCAACATATATGTTTTGTACAGCTCTGCGTTGTCACTTCCACACTTTGCTGTGTTCCTTAGTGACATCAGAGTAAGAAGGTCAGATCACTCTTCTGAAGGCCTGCAGGAAATTCCTTTCTCCAGCTGGAAACTGGCCACTTAAAGTGAGAGTAAACCAAGCAATGTCTCTTTAAAATTTCCACTTGCCAGCTTTGCAGGAACATGTACTGCGCCACGGTGTACACATTCATTTCTATAGTGGTTCCTGCCTCTCCAATTACAGCGTTGGAGAATGCCTGAGAAAAAGTCGAAAATTCAAGTCGAAGATTCAAACACCACAGGACAGACCTGCATGACACATGATGATGACATCATCGGAACGGCAGAGGAACACAGTGGTAATTAAACTAATCACTGTCCTTCATCACTCTCCTCTCTCTCTCTGTCAGAGCTGGGCCTGTTGTTAAAGTCCTGCATTGATCTTGGTCAGCTGGTACCTGATGATGTCATGTCTCGCCTCATCCTGAGCGACCTGAGAGCAACGGGACAGAGCAGCTGGCTGCTGGATGGTGAGTTCACACGTCAGAAATCGCTCTCCTGGTACTGATTATAAATGCACACCACACTAAACCGCACTACAAAAATAATTGTTAGAATGATAAAGAAACTGGAAGATTCAGGTATACAGGTTTAAGGTGCTATTTCCACATATATACATATGCACATAAACGGTCCATAAACTGTCTGTGTCACTTGTTTGTAGGTTTTCCTCGCACTGTGTCCCAAGCCGAGTCCTTGGATGACAACTACAGCGTGGACAAGGTCATCAATCTTAATGTACCTTTCCAGACCATCAAACAGAGACTGACGTCTCGCTGGACTCACCTTCCCAGCGGCAGAATTTACAACACAGATTTCAATCCTCCACAAGTCCCTGTAAATACACAGCATCTGTTTTCACTTGTTACTCATTGACTGGCTGTTTTCCAAGATTGTAGACATTAAATCGGTTATCCTAAAAATACCTTCATACTTTTCCTTACTCCTCAAGTTAAAAAAAAGCTAGCAGAGGAATATGATTAGCAGCACAGTTGTACAACTACTCAAGTAACATAGATTTTAGTATTATAATTAGCATAGTTTAAATGTAGCATAGATAAGTATAAAAGGTAGCATTGACGTGTGTATTAAAGATAAGGTAGCATATATACTGTATAAGCGTTAAATGTAGGCTAGATAGATGGATGGATGGATAGATGGATGATGGATAGATGGATGGATAGATGGATGGATGATAGATAGATAGATATAAGTAAATTAAGTATTTAAGATAGCATGCATGCTAGTATTGAAGGTAGCATAATCTAAATGTAGCATTGATAAGTATTGATGTTAACATAGAAATATTATTGCTAGCATATTATCACAGGTATAAACAGTAGTATAGTTACTAGTATTAAAGTTAGCATAGTTTTGCTAGTAGAGTAGCGTAAGTATTCAAGGTAGCATAGTTGCTAGCATTACAGGTATCATGGTGTAACTGAATCATAGAGACTGTTGGTTTATTAGGATTTGATTGTATTGTTAATGCAGGTCCAATTAAAAGAACATTTATTTTAAATGTCAATCTAATTTCCAACATTTACAACCAGAAATCCTTCAATAACCATAATCATTGAAGCTTGTTGTTACCTGTGTAGTAATAACATTTGTTCATGTGTTTCACTGTAGGGTTTTGATGATGTGACAGGAGAAGCTCTGGTCCAGAGAGATGACGACAAACCAGAGACGGTGACACAGAGACTGAAGTCTTATGAAACTCAGACGCAGCCTGTGTTAGAATATTACAGGTGAGAACTTAGAACCTCTCATGTCTGTTTCACCTTCAGGGTGCCACAGTATGTATGTTATATTGTTGGACAGATAAAAGGTAAAAGGTGTTTACGTTGGACGTCATGTAATACTGCACCTGACTGAATTTACATGTATAGCATTTACAGAATAGTTCTGCACACTCCATGCAGTTGATTGTGCAACTAAAATGTTTTAAAACCACACTCCACCACGACAAGCACTGTGCTGATGACAATGATTAATCTCAACATGCGTTTTGATTTATGCAAGAGCAAAACCTGAACAATACTCAATACTAAAATAAACTTATGAGGTGTCAGAGCCATTTTATAAGATCATACATTAAAATGCTATATCTGGTCTCCGTAGAGAATTTAATGGATCACAGCATTGCTTCAAACCAAAGAGAATTGCTTAGCTAGTGTCCCACACAGTTGATCAATTGAAGCAGTATTTCCCAAGGGGTATACAGATATACATACTCTGACCATGCTGGGTTCAATCTGACAGGTATCCTGGACTTATGCTGCAATTCCATTTCAACAGTGAGTATAGCTTACACCTGGGAGCCATAATACAGGGCAAAAAGTTCCAAAAAAACAACACAAATGACAAAAAGCGAATGTAGCACAATCCAGTGTATGCGTGAAATATTCGTCCGATTCCACTCGCCAGTTAGTTCCCATGTGAAATTAGTTTTAACGCCATACATCGGAATGATAGAACAAGACTTTCTTCAAAAATGTATGGGAGATGGTGACATAACCATGAAACGCCACAGGTCGTTAACCCTGGACCCCTCTGTACACTGTCTAATAGAGAACCCTCTGGGACGGATTTCAGGCTGTTCTTTTGCTAATGAACATGCTCAATATGTTATTCCAAGTGCAACACTACATGGTCTGGTTAATTGTGAGGCACCGCTCTGTTTAGTTTTAAGGTAATAATTGGTAAGAATGATCAATATGAGGTCCATCCATCCATCCATTCACCCATCCATCCATCCATTCACCCATCCATCATTTAGTGCTTATTCCTTTACAGGTTCGCTGGTGGCATTTGAGCAAGTAACAATTGATATATTCCGCTAATATAGTTATTTTCCCTTATGTCATCAGCAGTGTTAGACGGGGCATTGGTGGCTACGGAAGTGGACTTTGGTCCAGAAGGTTTCAGGTTCGAGTCCACTAGCTGCCAAGTTACCACTGAGGTGCTCTGATCATGGCACCGTCCCCACACACTGCTCCCCCTTAAAGCTGCCCACTGTTCACTTTGGTGATGGGTTAAAGCAGAGGTCACATTTGGTTGTTGCAGTGATGTGCTGTGTCACAATGACAAGGAGTTTACTTCCCTTCCTTTCTTAATGAGACGCTCTTAAAGGGAAAATGTAATAATTAGATGTTCATCATCGTTTCATAACCTAACCTTTAGTCCATGCTCAAACCCCAGCCTGAGGGTGTACAACTTTCTTCCAGCCTTTACCTCTGACCCTCTGACCATGCTGGGTTCAATCTGACAAAGCCCTGTCAGTAGTCAGGGACCATTGAGACATTGAAGTATCTCTTTAGGGGTTGAAAAGAATGGTCTTCATGGAGAGGCCCTAAGTATTGTCAAAGAAAGACTCCTACGGATAAACATCCAAGTATATTAACTCTGAAGTTCCTACTGTTCAGTAAAAAGTGTGTTCTGTGTTGTTGTTTTTTTTGTTTCTCCAGGAGTAAAGGTGTCCTGGAGACGTTCACTGGGACAGAAACCAACAAGATCTGGCCACATATCGAGGAATTTCTACATAGGAGACTCTCCTATGTCAATCAGAAAGTTGCATAGAAAGAAAGAAAGTCTTAAAAAAGGACAGAAAAGTTGGGTTTAACAGCAGAGACGTTTCTTCACGCAAGGAAATCACCTGAGAGGCAAAACCTACGTTTTGATGGGAAGTGAATTTATATCGGGATGGAATGGTAAGAATAAAAAGACATTTTTGGCAAAGTTCTTGTTGCAAGGCTGTTGCACCGTTTCGGCGGTGTTGTTGAACCCAACCCTCTTAGATACTAGATATTTGAGTCCTACGTACTGTAATATGTGCCTTCCTAGACCCAGCAGGTACCAGTAAGAATTTTAAAATAATGACAAAAGCAAACTATGATCTTAGCCAACAAGTGCTCATCACTGCCTTATTGTGACCTGTGATTTTGCAACGGGTATTTAAAGCTAAATGAGGAACATTTCTCAGAGTTTGCACAGATTTGGAGGTCCTGTCAGTAGGAAAAAATAAGAATGTTTCCTGCAACCTGCAGTAGAAAAGTGTGGATGTCTTTTTTCATCTTTTCACCTCAAAATACCCTTACATGTACTACACAACAGCTGCAACTTTGGCATAACAACGTCATAATCTGTTCAGAACTAGCAGTTTGGGCCTGTTATCAATTTCCTCTGCTCCTCAAGCTAGCATGTAGATAGCTAGTAAAAATAGGTGTTCGACAGTGGTGAAAAATAATTTTCTTATGGTAAACAATAATAATTAGTGAATAGTACATAAAAGTAAGAAGATACATTCTAAAAGTTGATGTTTCTTTACCTATTTTGTAGCATTGTCTGTGGGTTTGCTAATGCATTCCCTAGCCAGAAGCTAATGCTCTTTGGGGGGTGAGGTGGGGGTTTTGGGACCTCCCACCTTAAGCAACACAAATGTGTGCATGTCTCCTTGGTTTCTTGTAAAGAACCAAACCATGTTGCAGAGCAGTTGTAGTGATATTTTAAGCCAGTTCAGAGACAAAAACACAATTCATTTTGTTTCCTACTGACAGAGACTTCAGTGAAATCTGTTAAAAACTTATAGACAATGGGAGCTGTGCACTCAAGTGCCTCTTGCTGCATTGTAAATTCACCAAGGAATTTCTTTGATCATGAGTCTGAACCAATCATGTCTGCTATTGAATATGACATAATGATAATTACGTAATGAGTGAAACTGTCATTTTTAATTTGTTTGTTTTTTTTGTTTGAACCACATCAAGTCTTAGCATGTTACCACGCAATGTTTGACTCACACCAGCTGACCGTTCAGTAAATGTGTACAAACCTAATAGGTGACAGACTAGTAGAATATGTAATATCCCTAGAACACTGAAAACAACATACAGAAGGCAGTACTCTTTAGTCGGGTCATTTCTAGATTTGATGTCGTTCTCTGTCAGAGTGAATGTTTTCCTCTGTTTAAAGCTTTTAATGTAGTGCAGGATTTTACAGCTATTATTTCCTTAACTGCTCTGTGTGCAGAATAACAACTGAATTAAAATATAAAAGTACATTCACATTCTCCTCATAAAAAAAGAAGCAAAGTGTAATTATTGTGGTTCAAAATAAACTATTTTATGCTAATTGTGATCATTTGTGTATCATTGATAATACCGGAAAAGCAATGTTAGTATATCTCAGAAAAAGAAACCCCATATTCATCACAGGCAGTGTGAACAAAACATGGTAGCAATGACTATATTTTGGCTAATGCTAAGCTATTTGTTTGGCTAGTTTGTAGTTAAGTTATTGTTTCCAGTTGTTAGTTTAAATAAACAAACAATAATTACGAGTTTAAACAACACACCTAAAGATAGAAAAATATTGCAAAAATGCCATAAAGACACAGTGTGTCAGGGTTTTAATCCTTTTTTTCAGGCTGTCATAGTCTGCAAAATTCATGTAAAGAAATATAAAATAAATGTTTGGTTTTAATCCACATGATGACAACCTAAGTGTGAAAACGGTTTTAAAAACAATAATAATAATAATATAAAGTGCTCGACATGTTCACATGCAGACAGTTCTGCACGGGAACAAACAGTAAAAGCTCCTCAGGTGAAGCTCAGCCCTTTTCCCTTCATTGACTGTGAAAAGGTAGAATAAATAAATACCCTTTCAATACATGGCAGATGGCAATAAACAGTCACAACTGTTGAAGGAGTTATTACAGGTGTCTTTCTTTAATTTCTTTACATCTGTGTTATGATTAACTAAACAGGCACCAATTTGATACTGAGCAAGGAAATTCAAAGTAAATTAAAGCTGGAAGTTAATTATCTTTAATTACATATGGTTTCTGGGACATTTCTGTTTAGTGGTTTGCTGTGGGAATTTCTAATATAAAATATGTGGCGTGATTCAAAAAGGTTGGAATACACAAAAATACTTTTTATGTGATGGGAAAAAACCACACACTGAGTACACAGTCTAACCGGGCTAAAGCACTTGTGACTTTGTGGATGGACAGCGGAATAAAAACAGGAAACTGTAAGTGCACAATATCACATGACAATGTGAGGTTCAGTGTTACAGCCTTTATAAATGTATGCGCTACGGAAAGAGGTTAGGATGAAACAATTATTTATACTTCTTTGCACTTGTCTTACGTCACATGTTTCATATCCAGAATAAGCTTTCCAATCCTATCTAATTTGAGTTTAATAAACACCGGCAACTTTTCCATTTATTGTCACACCCTGGACAGTCCCCCAGTCTATACACATAGAGACAAGCAGCCATTTATGCTCACACTCACACTCACAACTGGGGTAAAAAAAGAACAAACCTAAACGTGCATGTTTTGGACTGCCATAGGAAACCAGAGTGCCTGAAGATGAGACAAGCACATGAGTAAAACTTGCAAACTCTATGGAGAAAGAACATGAAACATGTACTGGTTTTGAAAATGCTTTTTATCTATTACAATTATTGGCCCTGTATTAGGAAATGGCTTTTCTTTGGAAGTTGCTCAGTATTAGTACTTAGTACAAAAAGGAACCTAGTTCTAAACAAGGATATAAAAATAGGAGTGGCTGAAAAGCTTTATAACTGGTATTGACTTCATCAACGTGTGAAATTGAGAATACAAGTGAAAATGGATTCCCACACCTTGGTGGGAATTTTCTCAATGTAATTTATTGTTTATATTCCGAGGACTGGGTTTTCTTTACATTTTAAATTTGTACACGGGGCCCTGATTTTTGCCATCAGTCTGAACTCACATACTGTTCTTAAGTACCCATGTTACTCACCTACACCTCATAATTTAGAATAATGGTTCTTAAACTTTTTCTACTCTGTACCACCTGAGAAAACATTGAGCTCTTTCAGTACCACCATGATGACCAACAGTAGAATACAGCAGCATAGGTCCTTCCCTGTTAGCTTCCACCACACAGATATAAATGTTCAGAAAGATGTTTATGTTTCAAGGTTGTATTATTTTGCATGGTATGTTTCAGGTTTATTCAACTGAAAATGTAAATGTGAAAATATGGATTTTCCCTGCGTACCACTCGTGGTACGCATACCACAGTTTGAGAACCACTGATCTAGGACATCAAAGCTTCAGTAGAGTCAGACTTATGCTTGGGAGCCATAATGAAGGAAAGAAAATGCCCAAAAAAAGCAACACAAACAGAAGGAAGCTAATGTAGCACAATCCTATGTATGGTGTGAAACCAGTGAATGTAAGCAAAGGCGTCTTCCTGTGTGGCAACAAATTTGTCCCAACTAGCTCTAATGCAATTTTTTTCATATGTCGGAAGAATGGAGCAAGAGTTTCTTTTAATTAATTTATGGGAGACGGTGACGCAAACACAAAATGTCGTAGGTAGAGGATGAGGATGAAGTGTATATGGAAGGCCATGAAACCAGATGCACTCTACTGGTTACGGATGCAACTGTAGCAACTAATGTTAAGGGTCACTAATGCAAAGATTATAAGCTTTAGTTTGAATTCATCCACTCATATAGCTTTTCTCTGCAACCCTGTGGTTTGTTTTTCTGCTTCCACGTGGATGATGATACAGTACGTTCCCATTTTGAACTCTGCAGTACAAGTGCATCACATCTGAGTGCTTTGGCTACCAAGAGAACAAAATTCATGTTACATTTATATTGCAAAAAGCAAGCATATGCTTTGTACAGCAGCATATTGTGCACTTTTACCACTGCTAGCATTACAATGCCCCCTAGAGATTAGGGGTGGCAGAGCTCCATGCTAATTGATTAATAATCCTGACTCAAAATTCTTACATACTTAGCATTTAATGTTGTATTTTTGCAATATGTCTTCAAATACTGCCCAAACAAATATATCTACCTTTCTTTAAGGTGCAGCTCTTGTTTATCTGCATTTCTGATTTAGCTAGCAAAGCTTCACGGGAAGTATTACTGCCACCTGTTGACCAGACATGATTTCGACAGCTCTACACAGTAGTTTTTGTACTTTGAAATGATTTCAATGTTTTTGAGAACAGAAAAAAGCAGGAAAACCTGTATTTAAAAAATCATCTGCCTACAGGTGCATCACACGTGGGTTTAACCAGAGCCGTCTCTAAGCATTTCAGAGCCCCAGGCGAAATTATAGTTTGGCGCCCCCTCTCGCCCTTCAAATGTCAGTGATTAAGCAGTCATTTTACCACTAAATAAAATAGATCATGAGCCACACAAGAGTTCCAGCCTCTGGATGACGCATATTGTGCCGTGCATAATTTTTCAAATGCTGTAGTCATATTACAGAATTATACTGAATTATACAAAGGAAGCATGAGTGTTTGTTCTCTTATAGATTAGGAAAAAAACAACACACAAGATGACTATTACAACTCTCCCAGCAGTGCTGCTTAAAGTGTGAGTGTTGTGAAAATGGCTCAACTTTGATTTCTGTGGAAACACTGTATGAAAGATAAAACATGGCATGAAACATTACAGCAACCACTGGTATCTACTGTATTAGTCGTGAATGTTTGGTCAACAAATACCAAACATTATTCTTCGTGTAGTCATTGCAAAGGGGATGAAGAGCAGCATATGGACCGGGAGCCACCGGTTGCAGACCTCTGACCTAGACAATACATAGGCGACTGCCTGTGTATCGTATGCTAAGAGCCAGCTCTGGGTTTTAACTGATGATAACGTAGCGATTATTCAACCAGTGTCGGCTCTTTCATCTGATTGGCCTCCAGCTGAAGTATTTGTTCTGAGAGACTGTTTACTGCCTGCTTGAAGTGACTCAGACAGATGCCTTCACACATAAAACGCATGCACGCGCACAGACACACAAACCTCTCCTATGGATACAGCCTAGGTTGCAGTTTGTGTATGTAAGCAGCCTTTATCTCAGACCTCCATCTGTCAAACAACCTGCTGCAAACGCTGTGAAATGGTAAAAACACTACTCCTGGCAGATCCTGCACCGACTGCAGTGTTGTGGACTGACCATTTGTCTGTCTGCGTCTGTACTGTATTGCTGTTTACGGCACTGCTGTGCTGCTGAAAGCCGGCGGTGTCTGTATTTGCTGGATGGAGAGAAGATGCAAGTGAAGCAGCGGCTCCCTCTACGTGGGCTACGAGGTCTCCATCATCCGAATGTCCTCTGTTTCTGTGGCCTCGTCTTTTGTCCACCTGCCTGTACTTGTCCACAGTCCGCCCTCTAAACAACGATTCACGGGGAATCCTGCCACCTGCTGGAGAAGAAGAAAAGCGTCAGGCTGGATACTAACGGAACATTTCTGAAAATGCAAAAAAAAAAAGATGAACAATTGTTGCATATTTAATTGTATTAATTTTAGTCATTTGTTGACCTGCTTGTGTTGAAAACATTTTTAGGGACAAAAAAATGCCTAACTGTACTCAGGTTAAGTTGAATTTTATTATGGCTTCTACCCTGGAGGAACCTGTAGTTCTAAATGTTAGCTTATTGGAAAATATTTAGCTGCTATTCCTCACTTTTCTCATTTCTGTCATATGCTTTAGCAATTATTTTCTCCTCTTGTTCTATCTTTAGATATTTGTATTAAATATTCAGATATGTCTACTCTTATATATCTATATTATATAGTTTATATTTTCTTACTCTTACTTTGTTTTTTACTAGGGAGGAAACATGGGGAAGAACACTTAAAGAGCAGAACGATTCCAAACTACCAGGATCTAGCCAAGGCTCCAAACTTGAATGCAGCCACCACACACTGGGGCAGAGATGCCATTTCCCCCCTCTTTGTTCTAAATTGGCAGCTTTTAAAGCTGTGGGGCCAAAAGGGGAGGGTTTCCAGTTTCATTCTCCTCTCAGCACTGTGTCAGAATACAAAGAGTAAATTCAGAGGAGGAAAAAAAAAGAAGAAATGCATCATGGTCTTCTCAAACACAGAAATATATAAAGAAAACGTTGTTGTCTATTAAAAATGAGGCTGCATCTCACGGACACAAAGGTGTGTGTGTGTGTGTGTGTAAACAACACAGTTCTTTGAGACAAACTCTGGGCTTCTTTAAAAAAAGTGACCTAAAAAACAAATCTTGAAAAGACAGAACTATTATAAGATAGAAGATAGAAGCTGTTGTGACATGCCAGCTGCCTCAGAACATTTAGGACAAGAGGGAAATAAAAACTATGCGGTGGGAGATTACATTGAAAACGTTCAAACAACAACACAGAAATTCTTTTGAGCCCAACATTCAGTTCCAGTTTCATCCAGTATCTAAACAAACGTGCAGCTGTGGTGCTGGTCCACAGCTGAATGTTAAAAAAACATTTACTCTAATGTAAAGCTCCATACTAAAGTAAAAAAAAACATGAATAATTAACTTCAGGTTAGCCAGGTGTAAGGTTAATGTATGCAGAACACAAACTGTTAAACATATGCAAAAATGCTATACTTTCAAGAAAAGATTAACAAAATATTCCCATCAAAAGAATATCAAAGTGACCTCAGAGGAAGTAAAAAATTATGAATTTAGTGGAAATGAATTGTTCCAAATTCTCTCTATTTTTCACGGTTCAAAAGACTCAAGAAGACTAAAAGACAAATTGGTAAAACAGAGGAAAACTCACAGAGTCTTTGGGTTCGAACTTGCAGTTTGTGTTCACATTCTGCTGCTCCAAACTGTTGAGATCATCATCTCTACACTTGGCTGCACATTCTCTCACTCTGTGTTTGAAGGCATCAAGTTCTGTGTGGAAGACTTCTAAGTAGACGCCCTGTCCCTCCTTCACAGAGTGGAAGACAATTGAGAATACACACAGGTTGGTCAAACAATGTCAGGAGTACAAAATTTGACTGGCAGGCCGGTTCAGTATCGGTTGGATGTAGAATGTTTGGGTAAAATATTATAAATATAATGTACAAGATTAAACCTATAATTTGGCATATTTGTTGTCTGCCGCCATCTAGTGGCAGAAACTGAATTTACAGTTAACTTGTTGAAACAAAGATTGTCAGTCTTCACCATAACTTGTGTGGTGGGCGAGATTAAACAGGCCGGTGAGCCATATCTGGCCCACAGGCCGTAGTTTGCCCACGCCTGACCTAGAAGCTCATATCAGATGAGTGCAGCTTCCTTACTTTGGCTTTGTGAAAGAACTGTCTAAAGCAGCCTCTGGGATCCTGCTGAGAGTTTGAGGCCATCTCCAGAATGAACTGCATGACCACGGCCTGGTGAGCTACCTGCTCCATCAGTGCTTCCTTCTGCAGGAACACGCAGTTCATCACATTCAAAACACATTTAAGGAGCAAGTTTTGAAAACAATGCACACAGATTTGTCGATAACACCGTTCTACTTGGATTTTGTGGTATATTACCCCCTCTTGCTGTAGTTTCATACACCACAGGATCAAGTAACTGCCTGTTTCTTCACAGATGAGCTGAGGCATGTCCGCAAGGAAGCGCTGACTGTCGTCCCATCGCCTCAGCATACCTAGGACATTAGAAGGGTAAATTAGCAAAACAAAAAAAGTGAATTTCAAATGACGAAGAGGGAAAGAATTGGGGAATTTTATGGTCATATTTCATGTAGAGAATGGAGCAGTGGTGCAGCCCAAATGTAACACATTGAAACAGAGTGGGATGTTTTCAGGACAAGGGCCTTACAATGACAGACGGATGAAAACGGGGCCTAGTGCTACTGTACGTGCTGTGCTTGTGCATCATTATCTGATGTTTCTCCTCTAATGCTGTTGCTTTAACAAGTGATTTCTCTCGCAGGATTCATAAAACACTTTTCTTCTCTTTCCTCAGTTATTGAGAAAACAAACAGGTTTTGAAAAATTAATATTATATTGTGCAGCATTCCACAGTGTAGCAGTTATCATGCCTGCTTACACATATGGCTTACAGTACATGCAAAAGGTCCTGGGTTCAAGCCCTGAGGGTCAACATACTTGGCTCCTCCAAAGGGGCCGCAGCAGTAAGAATTTCCCCAGAGTAGGATCAATGAAGTTCAAATTAATAAATTATTAGAAATAAGATTAGAAAGATTTTTTCAGCATCAATTTGTCCAAATGGTACAATATGTCAGATTCATGTTTATATTTTTTGGTTTATTTAACAAGGACGTTACATATTGCATTTGCCACAGTAAATGGGAAACTATGATCTACATAAAATGTCTAGCTTTAGCTAATTTGCAGTCTTTGAAGTTGTGTACATTTAGGATAGAGTGTTAATGTACTTAAAGACATTAAACCTTTAGCAAAAATATTTTGGGAAAATTATCACAACCCCTCTGCTGCACCTCTGTGGACCACCTAAAGATGGTCCACAGATATGCTTGTATATGTTGCCAGATGCCACTAGAGATACAAACATTTCTGCTTCACCTTTTTATTTACTTACCAAAATGTCTAATCTCTTTGTCATACTTTTGGTGAAATGTATTGCACTTGTCCTGATCCATGCTGACCGGCTGATGATGGACGTTAATGACACTCTGCCAAAGTGATGGGACATTTAATCAATGATTAAAAAAGGGAGAATTATCATTAGAGAGTAGAACAAGTTTTCATCTCTTTCTCTCTACATCTCTTATACCTTATCAAAAACATCCCAGCTTCTGACAGTTCCCAGGTCAGGGCTGTGGTTTGCCTCCTGACCTCCCAGCATGCTCTCTTTACGATGCCACTCGGCCTCAGTGTGTGTGAGTTCGGATGGACAGGCCAGTGTCCGAGCCCGTTCCTGCTCCAGAGACTCGGAGCTGTGAACGCCAAGTGATCCTAGCTGGTCCTGGGCCTCGGCCAGTTTCCAGCTGGAGACGATGGAGGCTTTGACACAGCGCTGTTGACTCTGACACAGTGTTGCCATTGGACAGTCACAAAGACGAGACAAAGGTGGCTGGGAGTGAGATTAAAGAAGAACAGGAAGCACTTTTGGTCACGGTCGGTACAGAGAAAGAAACAAACAAAGTAAAACAAAAAAATAGAGTATATATACAAGTACACCTAACAGATACTTGTATGATTCCAGTTTAATATAAATTGTGGTCAAACCATCCTTTATGAAGGCATGTATCTGTGAAATCTCTTACACACAACTGATCATTTCACTTGCAAATATGGTGTGTGTGCTTTAGCCAGTTTTCAATAGATTTTGAAAAAATGATTGTGACATTTTTTAGAATTGAATTTCGCTTTTTTTCTTCAAGTAGTATCATGAGTTTTTAATATAACAGGGTCTGACAGCTAACGGCTACAGACAGAATCACTTACTTGTCGGCCCACCATCTTTTAATTTTCCATCATCGCAGCCTTGCTGCATTGAGAGGGTAGGACCATAAGGCTAAAAATAAAATAAGTGCTTCAACTTGTCCACAGCTTTATGGCTGCGCCAACAGCAGCCGCAGCACAGCTGACAGAGTCAGTGTCAGAGAACGTAGGATTGATCTGTATAAAAGCCAGGGGCTGAGCAGGCTTTCTAACACTAGAAAAACTTAGTAAAGTGAGATTTTTTAGTAAAAAAAGACAAAGTACGTTTTCTAGTCAATAGTGTCAATTTGAAGACTAATGTATGTTCAAATGAATTTACTTTATATAAAAAGATATTTATTAACATAATATTTGTTATATCGTCTTAAGAGACATTCAATCAGTCACATACATTGCTCATTGAAATTGTTCAATTACAGATTTGTGTACAGGTCATTGTGAACGTTACATCAGAGATTTAATTGGGTTTAAGTTTGCTTTCACTTTTCATAAACAGCCTGATTGTGTTTACAAATTCCCAGAAGCTATGTTGAACTAACTAAGATTAAAATAAAATGTTAATATTATCCAACACAGTGAAAAATATATACTGTACACAGGTGCGCGTTGTCTGCGAACAAGTGAGCAGTGTATCTTAGCACAAACTCACTTAGCAGGTTAGCATACTGTTCTGCTAAGTCAGACCCTCTCATTAGGCTAACACTTTAAAGCAGCGACCAGAGGGGGTTTCTTACCTGCTGTTGGTGAAAAACACCACCGCGTAGCCTCTGTGCTAAAGCTGCCTCACTACTGAGCTCTTCACCGGGATAAACCGAGGCTCCAGTTCCCGGCTGCCAATCCATGTCTGTGTGACAGCGTAGCCGTTAGCTCCGTGTAGGGGGGAAAGTGGAAATCGCTCGTAGCCGGGGCTAACTGTGTTTGAAAAATATGGACACAGCAAGTGCGTGCTTCTGGAGTTTGTCTGTGCTTGTGAATACGAGCCAGAGTTAAAAATGGAAAGTTCAATGACTAACTGACTAAGGGAATACTTATGCAAAGTCTGGGAGTCTGAAAATAACAACAGACACATCTCTTATCCATCCACACTTTACTTGTTGTACTAAAAGTGACACGCTGTTCACGTGGTACATAACTTTAACCACGTGACCGTTGTGAGGGAGGGGCGTTATGGACACGAGAAATAAACTTCAACAATGGAGTTGGAAGTAATAACATGTATTTATTTTTAAGAATGGGTTATTGTAATATTAGTATCTGACCTAATTATATGGTGTGAGAAAGTGAATGTATTGTTTAATCCCTAAGTGTATTTTAAAGAGTACCAATACTTCTTTCTTTACAGTAAATACGATCTTTAAACATACACACTACATACACTTAATATTTTATTTTCAGAATTTAAAAACTAGGTGGGTTTTATTTTAATATCTTTAATATCTATATCTTAATTTTTTGGGGGGCACAATTTTATTTTATTTTTCCGTGCAATGTCAATACACCTCGTAAGTTTTGTTTTAATACAACAAGTATGTTCAACAATGACGTGAGGTCAAAAACTAGTACAATAGCATAGAAAATAGACTTCAGTGGTACATTTCCTCTTAAAAGCCATGCCTGTAGGGGGCAGTAGCGCTTTTTGGCCTTGCATGAACAGCCTTTTCTATGCTAAGCAACGAAGAGTGGAACGCAGGAACCTGGTAAATTTAACCCGGTAATTAAGACTACAGGCATATTTATTTACATTTCCTGCTATTCAAAATATAAAAATTAATATCTTATTTTTAATACAAGCGTGCTGGCGTGTATTAGACGTTTTATTCCTTAAATTGTGGCCAGATTTGTGTATTTCTATGTTTAACTGCTGCCTAGCAGTTTCTATACAGGGCTGAATGACCACCGTTCAAGGTTCAATGTACCATACACAAAATATTCTGGAATGGTCACAATGTATTTGACAGTAGTAGTTTAAAGATAAAAAGTAGTAAAGGTGAATGTTGTCCGACAAAAAACAAATATAACCGTAGACTATTTAAGTGTTTATTGGTTTTGGCTCCAGCAACTGCCAATGTAAGTAGCGTCTTGTTCTGAAAAACAGTTCAACTTAGCATGTCTGTGTGCTAGCTTTAATTAGTCACGATAGCAAATGTTAACTCGTCTTATGACAACAGTGTTATTTATTGTGTCGTTTGACTTGCTGATTGTTAAAGTTGTACCAACATATTATCGGATATTAAAAACATTTTAACCAGACTGAGATAAAACAAGCCACAATTTGCAAAGCAATTGCCAAGCTTTGGGGCCGTGTGCTGATGTCTATTACCGCTAGGTGGAGGTATATTATAACGATAACTGACCTAGGCTGTCCCAAGTGCAAATTTACTGGGGCGGAGGGGCTGCCAAGTCCCGCCTCTGTAGGGACTATGCAGACGTTCAGACCGGGAGAAAAAAAGCAGACTTTAAGCTTAAAAAAGTCTGAAATCTAGTCTCACAGCCAGCTGGCACCGTGCCCTTTCTCAGACTGCAGTTCCCACAGGTGTTTGTGTGTGTCTGTGTGTAGGAATCATGTTATCAGCAAAACTGGTTCACAATCACAATAAGACCCTAATCAAAATATTTTGCTGTTGTAATATGTTCCAAACAAGATACATAATGATTTAATTTGGTCTTTTGTCATCTTTCAAATAAACACAATAAACTTTTTTTGTTTCTCTTGGCTTATCTGTGGTTGAACAAACTTTTCATGTTAATACCGAATACTGAATTAATACTGAATACATCTATTATTAGTATTACATATGGAACAGTAACAGTAATAACATTAAAATAACTATCAATGTACTACAGTATAAACAGTATAAACAATATACTACAGTATACAGTAAATATGTATTAATAGTTCAACTCCAGCCAAAAATAGCTTACAGTTATCCCCAATGGCCAGGTAGTGACTATTCAGTAGGACCAAAGTCCGAAAGCTGGACCAACAAAAATGCAAAAGCCAATAAATACAGATAAAAGACCGTTACAAACTAATCCATGAAAATAACACTTGTGGTCACATTCAAGCATGTGTTTTTTGCTATTTAAGTACATTAACTGACAATTTTTGCTTTCTGTACAGTTAAAAGAACAAAGTCTCAACAAGCAATCAAAAAGAAGAATTTGTAGATAAAAGTATTTTTTTACACTTCTTTGTGAAAGTTCTGTATTTGCATTTTTGTGTGTGTGTACTTTATTGAGTTATAATTGTGCTTATTTCTGTACAGAGACTTCTGAGGGACATGCTCCAGACAGGAATGGACACTTCTTCAGAAGCAACAGGTTTGTTTGACAGTTTTTATTTTTATTTTATTTTACAAGTACAAACATATTTTTTTCTGAATATTTTTTGAGACAGTCTTAATAAGTCAAGTAATTACTACATCCTATATGTCTTCTCTTTGAATGCTAAGATTAGCAATCTTGCTCACAGAATCAATGTGGTTTGCAGTGGGCTTCTTTTCCATTGTGGAGCCTGTTGGAATGTGTCCCTCCACACTTGCTCGTTTTTTGTTTATTTCCCTGAGGTAATTACCATTAGAAAACTGCAGTAATAGGAATCAATTTTAGTAGTCCCTCTCCTGGTTTTCAAGATTTTGTAATTGCACCTGTTGAGAGCTTTGTTCTAGCACCTTTGACAGAATAGAAAATAAGAGAAGCACTTGTGGAGGAATGTGGTGGCGTCCTTCCAGTGCAGTTGAACCACCAACAGCACAACCGCTGCCAAGTCACACTGACACTGTTGGGGTGGCTGCAGTGACACCAAACGCCACATTTAGACACTTGATCTTTGTGTTTCCTTTATTTTGGCAGCTGCTTGGCAACAGACTCCCAGACCTGTCTGTGGTTTTAATCTCTGTCTAATTGTACTGAAATTTAAGTGTGACTTTAATGTTTTTTAAGCAGACAGAGACAGAGACATGGATTGCGTCAGATTACCTGAAAAACAAATAGTATTTTTCTACCGCTTCCACTGTGGTGGAAAAACGCTCACGTTGAGTGAGTGCATGAACTGTATGCGTGTCCATGTATTTGTGTGCAGTGATGGGGTTATTATGTGGTAGTGAATGGGGAGTATCCAACTCTGTCATTCACCCACCATTCAAGACTCTAAAGAAACTACTCGCTCCACATTCCTCTGCACTCTGCTGCTTCTCCGTCCTCTCCTCAGGCAAACAGGGAGGCCAAAGTGAAGTGGGTTGTGCTGTTGGTGTTTGTGCGAGTCAGTGTGCACATACACATGTTCGTTAGTGGAGTGAATGGGTTGGAGAGTAGGGTTTATAACAGCAGAAAACCAGGAAGAACAGCAACGTTGTCATTCAGAAGTTTAATTTAAAGAACCTTTTCACTGGGCTGTAGCTGCTTCTTAGTCCTCTCTGTACAAACCCAGTTCACGCTGGTGCTGACTGTTTTCTATGCTGGCAAAAGAGTGAAATTATAATGAGCTGTGAAAGTGTAACATGCACCCTGCATCTTTCGATGTTACACTGCCTTTTGTGGGAAAAAAAAAATCAAGTACCATACCATATCTGGCCATACCGTGCCATGCCACTCACCAGGCCAAACCATACAATACTGTGCTGTACCGTACTATACCATACCATACCATGATATCCCATATCATAACAAACCAGACCAGACCATAGTAATTCCACAACCATTTTTGAGATACTGCACATATTTTACATAAGAAATCCCACAGTGCACTACCAAACAAAAATCACAAAAAGTATAGCTATGCACGTACTGAGTATTAACCCTGTCCTTTTTAGTTGAACACGTCCTTGATAAACTGGCAAGAATTGAAGAAAAATACACAACCAAAGCAGCTCTGTGTCTCTTTCTTTCTTTGCTGTTTTTAATAGCCATCAGCTGCCACTTAGTGGAAGGGTTTTTGATTGTTCTGCCTCTCACTGTCATGTAGGTAGTTTCTGTGTTGCACCAGATGATCTCTCTTTGCACACTAATGTGCCACAGCGCAATGATAGGGAGTCACTGCCATACCATAATTTCCTTAATCTAGAGCAGGGGTCGGGAACCTAAAGTTCGCGAGCCAAATGTGGCTCTTTTGATAACTGCATCTGGCTCTCAGATAAATCTTAGCTAGTACTGCTTAACACAATAAGTAATAAATAATTCTGCTGATATTCAAGTAAAACATTACAGAAATAATAATGTTAAAATAATCTTTAAAAAACTCAACTTGTTTCATCTGGTACGTCATCTTTTATTTCTGGCAATAAAAATGAAAACAAAGTCAGTCCATTTTGGAGAAACACACACAGGTCTGACGCTGAAAATAGAAAGTAAATAACAGTACAGTTAATGATAAAATGAATATAATCAAATGAATTAATGACAGAGCTCCTAACATGTGCACCAACCATAAGGACAGCAGAGCTTGACCATTGTTCTCCGGGGATCACGACTATAATCAGCAGAAGTGTTGCATTTAATGACCGTACGATAAATTAAGGTTTTTCTTATGTGGTGTGTATTAAACTCTGTTGTATGGCAAGTGGAACCATATATTTATAACTCTGTTACACATTTTGTTCCGTACATTATTTTTTTTGCCCTGGAGCTAATCGTATCAAAACCATGCAGCACCAGAAGTCGCATTAATGGTGAGAATTTATTCCACTATCCATACATATTTTATGTATGGATAGTATAACAACGTTAATTTAAAAAAAACAAACTTTAATACCCTTTTTAATACTTCATTAAGATTCTATTGATCTCACAGAAATACATTTTTTTAAAAATGTGACTTTTGGCTCTTTCTGCTGAAAAGGTTCCTGACCCCTGACGGGAACCTTCAGGGGTCGGGAAAATAATAACAATTCCTTGTAAGTGGACATATTTGAAAATAATAACAATTCCTTGTAAGTGGATGACAAAGGCAAAGAATGCTGACACCATGATATTTACAAGTGTTTTTTAAGTGTGGTGCATTTGTGGTTCCCTCAAACATCTGAGTTAATGTAATGTAACCAAAGTTAATATGAGACTATGACGCATTTTACTTGAGATAAATGTCTTGCAACCCGGACTCAGAAAACACAGTCCAAAAAGAATGTAGGAGACTATTTTCACAGGTTTAGCAATAAATACCCACCAGGAATCTTTACAGATGGAAAATGTTAAGAAGTGAGATGTGTCGGTGTCATTATTCTACATGACAAAATCATGGCATTTTAACATGGGGGTGTAGACTATTTTGATGAGCTTTATTGCTGAACTAAAGACAGACGACAACCTTTAAGTAATTGAACTTTTTTTTATCTTAAAGGATTACAAAGGTGCCATTTCTCTGGACTGAAGCTCAGTGTAGCTTAAGTGA